AAAACGTAGACCAGAGGGTGATCTGAGAGACTTCCCAGGGCAAATAGAGAATGCGGGTAATCAACATGGCGTCTGATCGGCTAACTGTCATTTCGATCACTGAGATAGGTGAGGCTTACCTGGGGCCGACATAAATCAGGCATTGACCTGGCCCCTGTCTAACTTACTAGGGGACGGCATGCAATAATGTATACACACATCATGTATACACAATCACACACACACACACACACACACACACACACACACACACGTATACATACTCTTACATTCTCATAATGCACACTCAAATGCAGACATACGTAATATATACATATACACATCTACGTACATACACAAACATAAAACACGCTCACATACATACATAGACACACATGCAGACACACATTCCATACATACACACCTACAAATGCATGCATGCATACATACGCATACATACACATGCAATCACATATACAGACACCCACATACGCCCACAACCATACATATACACTCACATACATACATACATACACCCACATACATGCATACATACATACATACATACATACATACATACATACATACATACATACAGACACATACATAAATGCCTACATACATACCTAAATACACATACATACCTCAATACACATAGATGCACCCACATACTTACACAGCTACATGTGCATAAATTTTTCCAACAACATGCATAAAAAACACACATAGATACATTCAAACATGCATGCATACATACACCCACATACATGCCTACACGCATTACATACATACATACACACATGCATGCACACACACATATACAATCACAATCACACATACATGTACCCACTTACACATATTCACACATGCATACCTGCATACATACATATATACACCTGCATACATTATATATACACACACACCCACAATCACACATACAGTCATATGCAATCACACATTTTTACAACATACATAAAAAAATACACACACATACAAACCCAAATATACATGCCTATATCCAGACAGAAAGCAAACAATGGAAAGGGCTCATTTCAATATTGACCAAAATGAGTAAGGGGTACTAACTCTACCAAGTGAGTAAGGGGTACTAACTACAAAATGAGTAAGGGGTACTAACTCTACCAAATGAGTAAGAGGTACTAACTCTACCAAGTGAGTAAGGGGTACTAACTCTACCAAATGAGTAATGGGTACTAACTCTATCAAGTAAGTAAGGGGTACTAACTCTACCAAATGAGTAAGGGGTACTAACTCTACCGAATGAGTAAGGGGTACTAACTCTACCAACTGAGTAAGGGGTACTAACTCTACCAAATGAGTGAGGGGTACTAACTCTACCAAATGAGTGAGGGGTACTAACTCTACCGAATGAGTAAGGGGTACTAACTCTACCAACTGAGTAAGGGGTACTAACTCTACCAAATGAGTGAGGGGTACTAACTCTACCAAATATGTAAGAAGTACTTACCCCATAAACTCATTCCTAAGAATAGGCTATGGGGTTGATATTGCTTCAGCTACTTTTATTCTTAACAACGTAAACCAACGTATACATCCAGGTGTCAACTGCAACACCGTGGGATCACCAGGGACCCAGGTGTTGGCTGTAGCTCTGTGGGATCACCCGGAACCCAGGTGCTGGCTGTAGCACTGTGGGATCACCCGGGACGCAGGTGTTGGCTGTAGCACTGTGGGATAACCCGGAACCAAGGTGTTGGCTGTAGCACTGTGGGATCACCCGGGACCCAGGTGTTGGCTGTAGCACTGTGGGATCACCCGGAACCCAGGTGTTGCCTGTAGCACTGTGGGATCACCCAGGACCCAGGTGTTGGCTGTAGCACTGTGGGATCACCTGGGACCCAGGTGTTGGCTGTGGCACCTTTGGATCACCTGGGACCCAGGTGTTGGCTGTGGCATTTTGGAATCACCCAGGACCCAGGTGTTGGCTGTAGCAATGTGGGATCACCTAGGACCCAGGTGTTGGCTGTAGCACTGTGGGATCATCTGGGACCAAGGTGTTTGCTGTGTCACTGTGGGATCACCCAGGACCCAGGTGTTGGCTGAAGCAAATGGGATCATCTGGGACTAAGGTGAAGGCTGCGTCACTGAGGGATCATCTGGGAACCAGGTAAAGGCTGCGTCGCCGTGGGATCACCCGGTATGGAGTTGTCAGCATTTGCTATGTCTGAGGTGATGATCAGCTGTTCTGCAACAGGCAAAAAGTTCATGTAAGCATTGTTGCTGATATCGAGATACAAATACTTGTTATTGAATTAGCGTAAGAGGTTCTGTTAAGACTCAAGCGTGATTCAGTGATTGTTTTAAACATTTTGAAGAACCGAGGAGAAAAACAGGATTTCATTACTGGATCATGTTTGCAGAATGTCTTTTTTGACTTTGGCAAGGACATTTTTCTTGTCGATAACAAATGAAAAGGAGGCTTGGTTGAGGGACTGTGTACTGTAGAATGGAAACTGTAATTGTGTGTATACTGATACGAGGAACCATGTGCAGAAAAGCAGCACACTGGCAGCAGGGAAGATCATCTGTGAAGGGGACATGCGACACCAAGAGGCCAGAGGTAGGTGTATCTTTTCACAGAATCAAAATAAAAATAATAATAATAAAAATAATCATACTAATAATCAATAATCATAATAATAATTCAAACGAACAGCGTAACCGAAGAAAACCAATTCATAAAAAACAAATTAACACAGGGAATATGTTGCATGAATTTATTATGATGATTATTATTATAGAAGTTGCTCCAGACAAAAGCATTTACCGAAACAACAGTCAGTTGCCAGGCAACACCCACAGTACACGTGCACCTGCAAACAGAAGTGATTGTGTGTTTGGTGTGTAGGAATCTGTCAACAAATACAAATGTGTGTACATACATGGGATACACCCTGTCGTCTGGTGGTTTAACCGGCACAATGTCATCAAACAGAACATCTCAGACAGTCTCAGACACGCAAATAAAACATATATGAATACTAAACCCATTAAAGATCACGGCCCAGAAGTGGACGAACAACCAGAACTATCTACCGGACAATACAGCCAATAAACGTCAGGCAGTTGCAGACAAATCGCAAATTTATGAGCAATTAAAAAAAAAAAAAAAGCTCTGTCATCTGTACAGACCTAATGGCTCGCAATGGTTAATATGGTCAGCATCAGGCCTGCCGCCTTTACATCCCGGACATTGCCTTTTTACCTATCTAGGGCTCTTCCAACTGAGAGATTAGGTCGGTCTCATGAAAACAAAAATGCTGCCTTTGTTTGGATTTGAACGCATGACATTAGGTTGTTCTGTTAAAATGTAATGCAAAGTCTACACAGAAGTTACAACTTTCTCAGAAAATGTGTCTAGTCTACACAGTAACTTCACCTGCAGATGTCTACAATGTATCTAGTCTACATAGTAACTCCACTTGCAGATGTCTACAATGTGTCTAGTCTACATAGTAACTCCACTTGCAGATGTCTACAATGTGTCTAGTCTACATAGTAACTCCATTTGCAGATGTCTACAATGTGTCTAGTCTACATAGTAACTCCCCTCTCAGATGTCTACAATGTGTCTAGTCTACATAGTAACTCCACTCCCAGATGTCTACAATGTGTCTAGTCTACATAGTAACTCCACTCTCAGATGTCTACAATGTGTCTAGACTACATAGTAACTCCACTCTCAGATGTCTACAATGTGTCTAGTCTACATAGTAACTCCACTCTCAGATGTCTACAATGTGTCTAGTCTACATAGTAACTCCACTCTCAGATGTCTACAATGTGTCTAGTCTACATAGTAACTCCATTTGCAGATGTCTACAATGTGTCTAGTCTACATAGTAACTCCACTCTCAGATGTCTACAATGTGTCTAGTCTACATAGTAACTCCACTCTCAGATGTCTACAATGTGTCTAGTCTACATAGTAACTCCACTCTCAGATGTCTACAATGTGTCTAGTCTACATAGTAACTCCATTTGCAGATGTCTACAATGTGTCTAGTCTACATAGTAACTCCACTCTCAGATGTCTACAATGTGTCTAGTCTACATAATAACTCCACTCTCAGATGTCTACAATGTGTCTAGTCTACATAGTAACTCCACTCTCAGATGTCTACAATGTGTCTAGTCTACATAGTAACTCCACTCTCAGATGTCTACAATGTGTCTAGTCTACATAATAACTCCACTCTCAGATGTCTACAATGTGTCTAGTCTACATAGTAACTCCACTCTCAGATGTCTACAATGTGTCTAGTCTACATAGTAACTCCACTCTCAGATGTCTACAATGTGTCTAGTCTACATAGTAACTCCAAATTTAGATGCCTCCAATAAAGCAAGTCTACACGGTAACTTCAATTTTAGATTACAAAAATATGAATAGTCCTGTATAAAATAATTAATTACTTGTATAATGTGTATAGCCTACACATAAATTACTTGTACTATGTCCAGTCCACATAAAAATTAGAAATGATTTGTATAATATGTATAGCATACACAGTAACTACAATTAACTTATATAATATGTATAGTATAGATGTGAATAAAACTTATCTTGAACAATACTTATAAACTGCACATCAAATACTTGTACAATATGTCTAGTTCACACTGAAATTTACAACTAGCCTATACATAAGTATAGTCTTCAAAGAAAATGTATTTTACTTGTACAATATGTGTAGTTTATACAGAAAATACTTGTACGGTAAGTATATTTAAACAAAAATTACTTATACATTAAGTATATTCTACATAGAAATTACATGCACAATAAATATAGTCTACACAACAACCACTTGCCTGTACAACATGTAACATCTACACATAAACAAAACGTTACTGATTCAATATATATAGTTTACACAGAAACTACTTGAAAAAAACTGTCACTGTACACAACAAACGATTATCGGTACATGATGTCTGCTTCCACAGAAACAGCACAACTTACCTGTATTGATAAATTATCTGCTGGTGCTGGGACAGATTCGATTGGTCAAGCTCTCCTCGATGTAGTCCAGCAAAGCAAATTCAGAGACGGCGAAGACATCCTCGCTACTGCTGGCCATCTCCACGAGTTCATGCGTGTTTACCTGGTCGCCGATACCAACAGCCAGCACACGCACACCCTGGTCCTTGAGTCTAGCCGAGGCTCGTTTCACTGTACAGTGTATGAAAAAACTAAAGTGGTCTTGTCGCTTTTGGTAAACGATTATGTAATTTTTAAGTAAAGAACAAGAAACAAAAGTTTCCTATACAAGACAGTGGCACACAGGGCACAGGAGGCTGCACTCTGGTACACAGGGCACATGAGGCTACACTCTGGTACACAGGGCACATGAGGCTGTACTCTAGTACACAGGGCACATGAGGCTGCACTCTGGTACACAGGGCACATGGGGTTGCACTCTGGTACACAGGGCACATGAGGCTGTACTCTAGTACACAGTGCACATGAGGCTTCACTCTGGTACACATGGCACATGAGGCTGCACTCTGGTACAAAGTTCACATGCGGCTGCACTAAAAAAAATTCAGACCGAAGAGAATGGATGCGGTCAACAGCACACCTGCCGCGTTTGCCTCCCAGGACATTAGCTTATATAGTATGTGCTTATTGCGAAATATCTGGACAGTAAAAACGATTCGTTACTATATCAGGACAACTAACACACACATAAAAATCATGTTGTATGCAATTGGTATGAGTAGCCGAAGTAACAACGCAATGCTATGCACATTCCACAAACGAATGACTACAGAAGAAGTGAACAAGGGTCTTGTTTCCAAGACACACATACAAACTGTCCGGAAATGGGTTTTTGAAGAAAACACTAAACGGCTAGCAAGTGACGTAACATCCAGCCAAAACAGGAATATATTAACCATTGTTTGCATACACGTGTGAGCTACAATATTCATTACACCACCCCTTGTTGCCTACACATGTGAGCTACAATATACATTACACTACCCCTTGTTGCGTACACGTGTGAGCTACAATATTCATTACACTACCCCTTGTTGCCTACACATGTGAGCTACAATATACATTACACTACCCCTTGTTGCGTACACGTGTGAGCTACAATATGCATTACACTACCCCTTCTTGCCTACACGTGTGAGCTACAATAGACATTACACTACCCCTTGTTGCCTACACGTGTGAGCTACAATATACATTACACTACCCCTTGTTGCCTACACGTGTGAGCTACAATATGCATTACACTACCCCTTCTTGCCTACACGTGTGAGCTACAATTTACATTACACTACCCCTTGTTGCCTACACGTGTGATCTACAATATACATTACACTACTCCTTGTTGCCTACACGTGTGAGCTACAATATACATTACACTACCCCTTGTTGCCTACACGTGTTAGCTACAATTTGTATTACACTACCCCTTGTTGCCTACACGTGTGAGCTACAATATGTATTACACTACCCCTTGTTGCCTACACGTGTGAGCTACAATATGTATTACACTACCCCTTGTTGCCTACACGTGTGAGCTACAATATGTATTACACTACCTCTTGTTGCCTACACGTGTGAGCTACAATATGTATTACACTACCCCTTGTTGCCTACACGTGTGAGCTACAATATGTATTACACTACCCCTTGTTGCCTACACGTGTGAGCTACAATATGTATTACACTACCTCTTGTTGCCTACACGTGTGAGCTACAATATGTATTACACTACCCCTTGTTGCCTACACGTATATATACATTACACATCAAGCAGCAGTTTCAGTAACGTCACTGGCGATGTAGGCGTCCTGGCTCTAGACCCACTCAAAAGACAAGATGGACGATGTGGCCACTAACAACTGGATGGTTGCATCGTCAGTGACACTCTCCACACCACTCACACACTTGCTAGACTAACAGCTATACACCACTCACACACTTGCTAGACTAACAGCTATACACCACTCACACACTTGCTAGACTAACAGCTATACACTACTGACACACTTGCTAGACTAACAGCTATACACCACTGACACACTTGCTAGACTAACAGCTATACACTACTGACACACTTGCTAGACTAACAGCTATACACCACTGACACACTTGCTAGACTAACAGCTATACAACACTCACACACTTGCTAGACTAACAGCTATACAACACTCACACACTTGCTAGACTAACAGCTATACACCACTGACACACTTGCTAGACTAACAGCTATACACAGCTCACACACTTGCTAGACTAACAGCTATACACCACTCACACACTTGCTAGACTAACAGCTATACACCACTCACACACTTGCTAGACTAACAGCTATACACCACTCACACACTTGCTAGACTAACAGCTATACACCACTCACACACTTGCTAGACTAACAGCTATACACCACTGACACACTTGCTAGACTAACAGCTATACACCACTCACACACTTGCTAGACTAACAGCTATACACCACTCACACACTTGCTAGACTAACAGCTGTACACCACTCACACACTTGCTAGACCAACAGCTATACACCACTCACACACTTGCTAGACTAACAGTTATACACCACTCACACACTTGCTAGACTAACAGCTATACACCACTCACACACTTGCTAGACTAACAGCTATACACCACTCACACACTTGCTAGACTAACAGCTATACACCACTGACACACTTGCTAGACCAACAGCTATACACCACTGACACGCTTGCTAGACTAACAGCTGTACACCACTGACACGCTTGCTAGACTAACATCTATACACCACTGACACACTTGCTAGACTAACAGCTATACACCACTGACACACTTGCTAGAATAACAGCTATACACCACTCACACACTTGCTAGACTAACAGCTATACACCACTGACACACTTGCTAGACTAACAGCTATACACCACTGACACACTTGCTAGACTAACAGCTATACACCACTCACACACTTGCTAGACTAACAGCTATACACCACTCACACACTTGCTAGACTAACAGCTATACACCACTCACACACTTCCTAGACTAACAGCTATACACCACTGACACACTTGCTAGACTAACAGCTGTACACCACTGACACACTTGCTAGACTAACAGCTATACACCACTCACACACTTGCTGCACTAACAGCTATACACCACTCACACACTTGCTAGACTAACAGCTGTACACCACTGACACACTTGCTAGACTAACAGCTATACACCACTGACACACTTGCTAGACTAACAGCTATACAACACTCACACACTTGCTAGACTAACATCTATACACCACTGACACACTTGCTAGACTAACAGCTGTACACCACTGACACACTTGCTAGACTAACAGCTATACACCACTGACACACTTGCTAGACTAACAGCTATACACCACTGACACACTTGCTAGACTAACAGCTATACACCACTCACACACTTGCTAGACTAACAGCTATACACCACTCACACACTTGCTAGACTAACAGCTATACACCACTCACACACTTGCTAGACTAACAGCTATACACCACTGACACACTTGCTAGACCAACAGCTATACACCACTCACACACTTGCTAGACTAACAGCTATACACCACTCACACACTTCCTAGACTAACAGCTATACACCACTGACACACTTGCTAGACTAACAGCTGTACACCACTGACACACTTGCTAGACTAACAGCTATACACCACTCACACACTTGCTGCTATACACCACTCACACAGCTACTAACAGCTGTACCACTGCTACACACACTAGACACACTTGCTAGACTAACACTATACACCACTGACACACTTGCTAGACTAACAGCTATACACCACTGACACACTTGCTAGACTAACAGCTATACACTAACACTATACACCACTGACACACTTGCTAGACTAACAGCTATACACCACTCACACACTTGCTAGACTAACAGCTATACACCACTGACACACTTGCTAGACTAACAGCTATACACCACTGACACACTTGCTAGACTAACAGCTATACACCACTGACACACTTGCTAGACTAACAGCTATACACCACTGACACACTTGCTAGACTAACAGCTATACACCACTGACACACTTGCTAGACTAACAGCTATACACCACTCACACACTTGCTAGACTAACAGCTATACACCACTGACACACTTGCAGCTATACACCAGACAACACTTGCTAGACTAACAGCTATACACCACTCACACACTTGCTAGACTAACAGCTATACACCACTCACACACACTTGCTAGACTAACAGCTATACACCACTCACACACTTGCTAGACTAACAGCTATACACCACTGACACACTTGCTAGACTAACAGCTTATACACCACTCACACACTTGCTAGACTAACAGCTATACACCACTCACACACTTGCTAGACTAACAGCTATACACCACTCACACACTTGCTAGACTAACAGCTATACACCACTCACTCACACACTTGCTAGACTAACAGCTATACAACACTCACACACTTGCTAGACTAACAGCTATACACCACTCACACACTTGCTAGACTAACAGCTATACACCACTCACACACTTGCTAGACTAACAGCTATACACCACTCACACACTTGCTAGACTAACAGCTATACACCACTCACACACTTGCTAGACTAACAGCTATACACCACTCACACACTTGCTAGACTAACAGCTATACACCACTCACACACTTGCTAGACTAACAGCTATACACCACTCACACACTTGCTAGACTAACAGCTATACACCACTCACACACTTGCTAGACTAACAGCTATACACCACTCACACACTTGCTAGACTAACAGCTATACACCACTCACACACTTGCTAACTGACTAACAGCTATACACCACTGACACACTTGCTAGACTAACAGCTATACACCACTCACACACTTGCTAGACTAACAGCTATACACCACTCACACACTTGCTAGAGACTAACAGCTATACACCACTCACACACTTGCTAGACTAACAGCTATACACCACTCACACACTTGCTAGACTAACAGCTATACACCACTCATACTTGCTAGACTAACAGCTACACCACACACACTTGCTAGACTAACAGCTATACACACTCACACACTTGCTAGACTAACAGCTATACACCACTCACACACTTGCTAGACTAACAGCTATACACCACTGACACACTTGCTAGACTAACAGCTATACACCACTCACACACTTGCTAGACTAACAGCTATACACCACTCACACACTTGCTAGACTAACAGCTATACACCACTCACACACTTGCTAGACTAACAGCTATACACCACTCACACACTTGCTAGACTAACAGCTATACACCACTCACACACTTGCTAGACTAACAGCTATACACCACTGACACACTTGCTAGACTAACAGCTATACACCACTCACACACTTGCTAGACTAACAGCTATACACCACTCACACCACTCACACACTTGCTAGACTAACAGCTATACACCACTCACACACTTGCTAGACTAACAGCTATACACCACTCACACACTTGCTAGACTAACAGCTATACACCACTCACACACTTGCTAGACTAACAGCTATACACCACTCACACACTTGCTAGACTAACAGCTATACACCACTCACACACTTGCTAGACTAACAGCTATACACCACTCACACACTTGCTAGACTAACAGCTATACACCACTCACACACTTTGCTAGACTAACAGCTATACACACCACTCACACACTTGCTAGACTAACAGCTATACACCACTATACACACTTGCTAGACTAACAGCTATACACCACTCACACACTTGCTAGACTAACAGCTATACACCACTCACACACTTGCTAGACTAACAGCTATACACTTGCTAGACTAACACTACACCACACACTTGCTAGACTAACAGCTATACACCACTCACACACTTGCTAGACTAACAGCTATACACCACTCACACACTTGCTAGACTAACAGCTATACACCACTCACACACTTGCTAGACTAACAGCTATACACCACTCACACACTTGCTAGACTAACAGCTATACACCACTCACACACTTGCTAGACTAACAGCTATACACCACTCACACACTTGCTAGACTAACAGCTATACACCACTCACACACTTGCTAGACTAACAGCTATACACCACTCACACACTTGCTAGACTAACAGCTATACACCACTCACACACTTGCTAGACTAACAGCTATACACCACTCACACACTTGCTAGACTAACAGCTATACACCACTAACTTGCTAGACTAACAGCTATACACCACACACACTTGCTAGACTAACTACACCACTGACACAGCTAGACTAACATACACCACTCACACACTTGCTAGACTAACAGCTATACACCACTCACACACTTGCTAGACTAACAGCTATACACCACACTCACACACTTGCTAGACTAACAGCTATACACCACTCACACACTTGCTAGACTAACACTAACACTCACACACTTGCTAGACTAACACTATACACCACTCACACACTTGCTAGACTAACAGCTATACACCACTCACACACTTGCTAGACTAACAGCTATACACCACTCACACACTTGCTAGACTAACAGCTATACACCACTCACACACTTGCTAGACTAACAGCTATACACCACTCACACACTTGCTAGACTAACAGCTATACACCACTCACACACTTGCTAGACTAACAGCTATACACCACTGACACACTTGCTAGACTAACAGACTACAGCTATACACCACTCACACACTTGCTAGACTAACAGCTATACACCACTCACACACTTGCTAGACTAACAGCTATACACCACTCACACACTTGCTAGACTAACAGCTATACACCACTCACACACTTGCTAGACTAACAGCTATACACCACTCACACACTTGCTAGACTAACAGCTATACACCACTCACACACTTGCTAGACTAACAGCTATACACCACTCACACACTTGCTAGACTAACAGCTATACACCACTCACACACTTGCTAGACTAACAGCTATACACCACTCACACACTTGCTAGACTAACAGCTATACACCACTCACACACTTGCTAGACTAACAGCTATACACCACTGACACACTTTGCTAGACTAACAGCTAGACTATACTATACCACTCACACACTTGCTAGACTAACAGCTATACACCACTCACACACTTGCTAGACTAACAGCTATACACCACTCACACACTGCTAGACTAGCTATACACCACTACACACTTGCTAGACTATACACCACTCACACACTTGCTAGACTAACAGCTATACACCACTCACACACTTGCTAGACTAACAGCTATACACCACTCACACACTTGCTAGACTAACAGCTATACACCACTGACACACTTGCTAGACTAACAGCTATACACCACTCACACACTTGCTAGACTAACAGCTATACACCACTCACACACTTGCTAGACTAACAGCTATACACCACTCACACACTTGCTAGACTAACAGCTATACACCACTCACACACTTGCTAGACTAACAGCTATACACCACTCACACACTTGCTAGACTAACAGCTATACACCACTCACACACTTGCTAGACTAACAGCTATACACCACTGACACACTTGCTGGACTAACACAGCTATACACCACTCACACACTTGCTATAACAGCTACACACCACTCACACACTTGCTAGACTAACAGCTATACACCACTCACACACTTGCTAGACTAACAGCTATACACCACTCACACACTTGCTAGACTAACAGCTATACACCACTCACACACTTGCTAGACTAACAGCTATACACCACTCACACACTTGCTAGACTAACAGCTATACACCACTCACACACTTGCTAGACTAACAGCTATACACCACTCACACACTTGCTAGACTAACAGCTATACACCACTCACTGACACTTGCTAGACTAACAGCTATACACCACTGACACACACTTGCTAGAGACTAACAGCTATACACCACTCACACACTTGCTAGACTAACAGCTATACACCACTCACACACTTGCTAGACTAACAGCTATACACCACTCACACACTTGCTAGACTAACAGCTATACACCACTCACACACTTGCTAGACTAACAGCTATACACCACTCACACACTTGCTAGACTAACAGCTATACACCACTCACACACTTGCTAGACTAACAGCTATACACCACTCACACACTTGCTAGACTAACAGCTATACACCACTGACACACTTGCTAGACTAACAGCTATACACCACTCACACACTTGCTAGACCAACAGTGATACACCACTCACACACTTGCTAGACTAACAGCTATACACCACTGACACACTTGCTAGACTAACAGCTATACACCACTCACACACTTGCTAGACTAACAGCTATACACCACTCACACACTTGCTAGACTACACACAGCTAGACTAACAGCACCACTGACACACTTGCTAGACTAACAGCTATACACCACTCACACACTTGCTAGACTAACAGCTATACACCACTCACACACTTGCTAGACTAACAGCTATACACCACTGACACACTTGCTAGACTAACAGCTATACACCACTGACACACTTGCTAGACTAACAGCTATACACCACTGACACACTTGCTAGACTAACAGCTATACACCACTGACACACTTGCTAGACTAACAGCTATACACCACTCACACACTTGCTAGACTAACAGCTATACACCACTGACACACTTGCTAGACTAACAGCTATACACCACTCACACACTTGCTAGACTAACAGCTATACACCACTGACACACTTGCTAGACTAACAGCTATACACCACTCACACACTTGCTAGACTAACAGCTATACACCACTGACACACTTGCTAGACTAACAGCTATACACCACTCACACACTTGCTAGACTAACAGCTATACACCACTCACACACTTGCTAGACTAACAGCTATACACCACTCACACACTTGCTAGACTAACAGCTGTACACCACTCACACACTTGCTAGACTAACAGCTGTACACCACTCACACACTTGCTAGACTAACAGCTGTACACCACTCACACACTTGCTAGACTAACAGCTGTACACACCACTCACACACTTGCTAGACTAACAGCTGTACACCACTCACACACTTGCTAGACTAACAGCTGTACACCACTCACACACTTGCTAGACTAACAGCTGTACACCACTCACACACTTGCTAGACTAACAGCTGTACACCACTCACACACTTGCTAGACTAACAGCTATACACCACTCACACACTTGCTAGACTAACAGCTATACACCACTCACACACTTGCTAGACTAACAGCTATACACCACTCACACACTTGCTAGACTAACAGCTATACACCACTCACACACTTGCTAGACTAACAGCTATACACCACTCACACACTTGCTAGACTAACAGCTATACACCACTCACACACTTGCTAGACTAACAGTTATACACCACTCACACACTTGCTAGACTAACAGCTGTACACCACTGATACACTTTCTAGACCAACAGTGATACACCACTCACACACTTGCTAGACTAACAGTTATACACCACTACACTAGACCTGGATTGGCTGGTGATCTTCTAAAGTTTTCCCCCTTCACAGCTACAGATAACCGAAATCTACTCCTCTCTGGTGCGTGTCAAAGGTTGACAAGCCATCTTTAAACTGTCATGATTTCATGTTTGTCTGCATCCTTATGTTGCTTGCTTAACACTCTTAGCCTTCCCATCAACAATATTAACAGGTTATTAGGCAGCCACCTGTTTACTGCAATTTTGATTTCACTTTAAGGTTTTAATTTGAAGCCAACACATGTGCGGGTGAAAGGAACAACAAGGTAGTGTACTCACTTTCCTCTGAATTAGAACAGTCGCCATCTGTGAGAGCAATAACCACATCAGGGGCGTTACTTCGCCCTCCCTTGGACGTGGAGAACATGTGGTTGTCAGCGATATAGTTGAGCCCTAAATGTGTATTGGTTCCGCCTTCACCGTACTCAGCGCCGATCAATGACTGATTCACAAGAATTCGAATTAAAACAAAAAAAGTAATATTGTAGATTTATGTTGACTGTATTTTTTTTTTTTTCACTTAGAAATAGTAACATTAACAAAGCATAACGTCTCTAAAGGGACAGACCAGTTATTTATTGAATTTGTTAAGAGTGGATTACGGTATTTAGCATCATGGCTCTTATCAAGATAGTCAGGGCACAGTGAGAACAACAGTAATAATGACAGACTGGTTTCCTATCTCGTCAGGTGTCAGACAGGGATGCATCGTCTTACCATTGCTTTTTATTACTTACATGGATAGAATTACACAGGAAGCAAAGACAGACACTGGAGAAATTAAGGAAGGTCTTTAAGTAAAAACATTGTCTAATATAACAGCACAAACATAATTTAGAACACCATATTGACTCCTTACACAAAACCTGCACAAATTATGATGGGAGAATAAACACAGCAAAAAGTGAAGTTAGGAGAATAGGGCAGTAAATATAATAAAGCGAACATTCACGTTAATAGTACTACAATCAAACAAGTATGAAAAGGTAAATATCTAGGAAGCATATTCATGGATGATGGCAGACTGGATGGAAAGACAGAAGCCAGAATACTGAATACTGGATGGAAAGACAGAAGCCAGAGTACCGAAGACTGGATGGAAAGACAGAAGCCAGAGTACTGAAGACTGGATGGAAAGACAGAAGCCAGAGTACTGCAGACTGGATGGAAAGACAGAAGCCAGAGTACCGAAGACTGGATGGAAAGACAGAAGTCTGAGTACTGAAGACTGGATGGAAAGACAGAAGCCAGAGTACTAAAGACTGGATGGAAAGACAGAAGCTGGAGTACCGAAGACTGGATGGAAAGACAGAAGCCAGAGTACCGAAGGCAGACGCTGTCACCTACCAGTTTGCCCCACTAATTAGACACCCACATGTCTCTCTTCCAGCTAAACAGCAAATGATTTATAGCATTTTAATATCTGATGTATGCTATTAGTGCCAAAATTGGACAATGAAAAGGACACTAGAACTGAAACAAACAAAAAATACATGCGAAATGCGCTCCTCTCCGCAAGGTCACTAACAACACAAGAAGGAACAAGCTTAAGAATATCAACATTAAAAAGAAAGATGGAACAAGACTGTCACAACCCTATAAGTACAGTCAGTGTACCACACCGTAAGGTGTGGGTGTTGAGGTGACACCCCAGGGTTGACACAAAGGTCAGGGCCGTGACTGGTCAAGTCTGTTCTGTGATTGCACGGTGAAACCAGCGCTTAGGATAAAGCGTTTGGCCACGGCAAGAAAGAGTGAACGTTGTTGGAGACAAGTCGACAGCACGATGACCGCGGTTGGGACTGAGCTGGACCGGGGTCAAGGGACACGAGGTGGAGAGAACACAGGACATTCGGTGTGCGACGGTCAGAGAGGAAGCAGACGTTTAGCAAGACAGTGATAGTGTATTAGAGTTAGGATATTTCTGTTAGTGACTGCATAGTTTATGTACAGTGTTCTGTTAGAATAGGATAGTTCTTGTGTAGGGTATTTATACATGTTCTGTGAGAGAATGTCTAACCTTGGCACTCTGACCCTGTACTAAGAGAGAGGCTTTGACAGTTTGGTTGGTCAGTGTGTCAATAGTTAAGAGGGTATCTCGTGACCGTGTGGTTTGTATACCAGGAGATTGCTTGTGGAACGTACTGGGAGCGAGGCGACTGTAAAGCTCGTTCGGCCAGAGGGTCCAAGCAATAGGTGGCCACACAGCGGGAAGTCAACTGTCTATTGTATTACCTGTACTTACAATAAAGATTGTCGTGTGTGCTTTGTGTGCGTTCGGGTTCAGTGTGTGTAAAAGGTTAGTCTGTCTGTCATAGGCCCAGTTACGAGCCACGGACCAGCAAGGTCACCCAGAGGTCTGTGACAAAAACCGTGACTAAATTATATTGACAAAAAAAGATTAAATGGTTCGGTCAGCTAGTGAAAATGCAGCCAGGCCAAGCTGCACATTTTTTTTTTACAGCATAGCATTTGCGGAAAAAGCAATGAAATAAACAATCATAATTGTGAGGTAGATTGTCTCAGTGTGATGCAATGAGATTGTCCCAGTATGATGCAATGAGGTAGACTGTCTCAGTACGATGCAATGAAATTGTCTCAGTATGATGCAATGAGGTAGATTGTTTCAGTATGATGCAACATGCCACCTCTTAAATGTTAAAACTATTTTGATTTCGCTGCCTATGCCGCCCATCACTGTGCCGCCTGATGCGGTCGCTTCTCTGTATCATAGCACGACACGGCCCTAAAATCCATTACCCAAGCCACTTGAGATTTGCAAGCAAAAATGGGAAGCCAGAATACGAGGCTACAACCTGGTCTATGTGAGACGACAAAAGATGAAGAACTTTCTGAAAGTCAAAATGACGTTACACTTGGGTCGTCTTCAAATCTTGGACACAGCTGAGTGACTGAAGAAGCTCGCGAGCATTAAAGGCTCTAACATTACCGCATTATCTCTGTCTAGCTCTCTTTTCCTCTCCTTTTTACTTTATATTTTACCAATATTTATATATATATACATACACACACAGAGAGAGAGAGAGAGAGAGAGGCAAAGAGAGAGAGAGACAAAGAGAGAGAGAGAGAGAGAGAGAGAGAGAGAGAGAGAGAGAGAGAGACCTACTCACCGATGCGATATCTGCCTGGGACGAATACGTGTCCAAATCAAAGAGTTTCTGAACCTTTGTAGCAAAGAGAAGAGCTCCAAACCTGGCTCCCTTGTAACCCACATTGAAATGTTCAGTTAACTTGGCCACAAACTTCTGCTGCACCTCAAAATTGTCGATGCCGATGCTACCCGACTCGTCAATCAAAAACACGATGTCCACCAGGTCCGTACATGGACTCAAGGCTACAACCAAAGACAAGAAATGTGGTCCTAACTGGCAGATAATAAGTGCAGTAAAATGACCTTTTTTTCCACACAAAAAAAAAAATTACCTTCTAAAAATAATTTGGTCTCATACAATGGCAATATATTTTGTTTACACAATGATTTGTTACAAAATATACCATACAGTGCCTTTTTTGCTGGTTCAGGGGTGACATAGAGAAGAAAACAAAATTATAGACTAAAATTCCTTCGATTCTGTAATAGTTTTTGTGCTTGTCTTTGAGCTCATCGTTTCGCGCGTTTCACATTAGATTACAGTGCTGAATTCAAGTTAAAACTGTTCTAGTTTACAAACGTGAATTGAAATCGTGCTGCTTTATATAAACTGGGTCTTCCTACAACTGAAACAACAATGGGAGACTGGTTTTGGGAAGAAGAAACTCTACTGAGATGCCACACACACACAAAAAAAAAAGGCTATGAGAGGCAAGTCGTAAAAAATGGAGCTGATTAAACTGAGCTGGTGGCAATATATAAAGACAGTGATTTCTTATCAGACACAGACTTCTGATGCCTACCGTAAGCTTTTATGCGAGTGTATGATAGTGCATATGCCGAGACAGTAGTCGGTCAATCTTTCCACAAGGGACTGCGACAAACATTTTGTGTGACTCGTTTGCTATGAAGTTGAAACTAAGATTACCAAGACGAGGATAAGCCAAACAACTATCATCTGGATGAGGGTTTTTACAGTGATGAGGGTTTTTACAGCGATGAGCGTTTTTACAGTGATGAGGGTTTTTACAGTGATAAGGGTTTTTACAGTGATAAGGGTTTTTACAGCGATGAGGGTTTTTACAGTGCTGAGGGTTTTTACAGTGATGAGGGTTTTTACAGTGATGAGGGTTTTTACAGTGATGAGGGTTTTTACAGTGATGAGGGTTTTTACAGTGATGAGGGTTTTTACAGTGATGTGGGTTTTTACAGTTATGAGAGTTTTTACAGTAATGAGAGTTTTTACAGTGATGAGGGTTTTTACAGTGATGTTGGTTTTTACAGTGATGAGCAGTTTTCTGGATTCTGTGATGAATCAAAGGTGAGGTCAATAACCTATGTAAACCTATTTCCCCCACCATCCCCATCCCCCATGATCAATATTTTTGTCTTTCTGGTCCCACAATCCAGGTGCCTCTTATACCTGGGGGTCGTCATCTATTTGAGGAAATATAGCATAATACTAATAATAATTATAATAATAATAGGCAATATTATAGTATTCATCATCATCATCATCATAAACAACTACTGCCGCTGAGTGGCGGAACATTAGCGATTGACTGCAACGCTGGCTAGCACCAGTTATCGATTGACTGCAACGCTGGCTAGCACCAGTTAGCGACATGCAGTGTAGGCCAAGCCTCTTTAATATTGTTGATCCATTTATTCGTGGCCGTCCTCTTGCTCTTGTAACCGATCCTATGAGATGTAGTTCTCGTGATGGTATTTGATGTTGCTGCATTCTAACGAGATGGCCGGACCACTTGATCTGCTGCTGAAGAAGAAGAAGAAGAAGAAGAAGAAGAAGAAGAAGAAGAAGAAGAAGAAGAAGAAGAAGAAGAAGAAGAAAAAGAAGAAGAATAGTGATTAATGAGCGGCGTTTGTGGCTAAGGCGTTGTAAACGCGCTACGTAATGCTGGTGTGCGGGGTTCGATCCCAGCTGCGAACGGTGTGTCTTAAGTTGGTATCGGAAGTGGTAACTAGAGCAATGCAAGCTAATAAACGTAAAATGTGCCTTAAAAAAAAAAAACACACACACACACAAACAAGTCAAACAATGCTGGGGTTGTTTCTGCAATGTCCTGTAAAGAATACGCAACCAAATAATGAACTCCGCTGCAAATATCTCTGGCACTGACCTTTGCACCTGGTGGTGTCCTCAGGATCGATGGAGTAACCTCCCCTGCAGGTGCATCTTACGGAGCCTGGAATGTTGACACAAACTTGTTCACATGGACTGTGCGTTTCACACTCGTCGAGATCTGGGGATGAAAGATAGACACTGTCACCCTCATCGAGATCTGGAGATGAAACATAGACACTGTCACACTCATCGAGATCTGGGGATGAAACATAGACACTGTCACACTTATCGAGATCTGTGGATGAAACATAGACACTGTCACACTTATCGAGATCTGGAGATGAAACATAGACACTGTCACACTCATCTAGATCTGGGGATGAAACATAGACACTGTCACACTCATCGAGATCTGTCGATGAAACATAGACACGTTTCTTACTCAGCGACTTCTGTGGATGAAACATAGACACAATTTCACATTCATCGACATCAGTGGATGAAACATATACTGTCACACTCATCGAGATCTGAGGATGAAATAAAGACACTGTTGCACACTCATCGTGCTCCATGGATAAAACATAGCCATTGTTTCACACTTATCAAGATCTCTGAATAAAATATAAACACAGTTTTATACTCCTCGAGATCTGTAGATGAAACAAAGAAACTGTTTTATACTCCTCGAGATCTGTGGATGAAACATAGCCACTGTTTTATACTCATCGTGCTCTGCGAATGTAATAGACACAGTTTCACACTCAATGAGCTATATGTTGATAACATAATGTTGTTTGACAGACAGAAATATGTGCGGATAACACGGGGCTGTTTGACAGACATAAATATGTGCGGATAACACGGGGCTGTTTGACAGACATAAATATGTGCGGGTAAAACGTTGCTGTTTGACAGACATAAATATGTGCGGGTAACACGGTGCTGTTTGACAGACATAAATATGTGCGGGTAACATTGGGCTGTTTGACACACATTATAATTTGTGGATTGGACAAAGAATACGTCTGACGAGCAACATAATATAGACAGAAACACATAGTCATTACTTTGCATATTTCGGTATTGACCTTACCGATGCATGTGGATGGGTTATTCGGGTTCGGTTCAAATCCTTCTGGACACATGTGGGATTCTGTTGAAGGACAGACAATCATGATTACATTTAAACTCAGAATGTTTTGCATTATTGACATATTTAATCAGAAGAACTGGCAAAAGACAAAGACAAGACACGCCCATGTCGGTCCTAGTTTGGCGGAGTTGTCCAGGAACACAAGACTGACTTAGCTTGAGGTGCAAATCAATAAATTGTATGGAAAGTAAAGGCGACTAACGCCACCCTGAGTTTCGTCACGCATCTAGTGCCAACTGGTCTTTATAAATGCGCTCTCAGCACCTTCTTCTTCTTCTTCTTCTTCTTCTTCTTCTTCTTCTTCTTCTTCTTCTTCTTCTTCTTCTTCTTCTTCTTCTTCTTCTTCTTCTTCTTCTTCTTCTTCTTCTTCTTCTTCTTCTTCTTCTTCTTCTTCTTCTTCTTCTTCTTCTTCTTCTTCTTCTTCTTTTTCTTCTTCCGTTCGCTTGAAATAGATTTTCTATATCTGCAATTCTGTCTCTAATATGAACTTACTTGTCTAATGTAATTGACTCAGTGAGCTGTAAAGTTTGTTTTAAACCGATGTTTCTCGTGGACACAAGTTTTGCCTTGATATGTTGTATTTGGGACAGTCTTGGAGGACATGATTTGTTGTCTCAGGTGCCAATCCACATGTGCACATGACCGAGTCTCCGATCTTGAATTGTCTGTGCATGTGGCTGGGAAGTCAATTATTCACTGTTCTAAGGCGAAGAAAGATAACTTGATCTGGTCTGTCCATAAAATGGTAATCGTCTTGTTCCGGTTTTGGTGACTTTCTGAATGATTTGATTATTGTCTTCTTTTGTTGATAAGAGACTTATACATCAGGTTATTTATCTGGACATTGCTCTTATACTGTGACCTCAGCAAAATACGAAGTCGTGGGCTGTCTCGCTGTCACTGAGAAAATAGGCGGGGGGGGGGGGGGGGGGGTGGGGGGGGGGGGGGGTTATCAAACTGATAATCAGTAAATGGGACAAACTTCAAACAAGTAATATGTTTATGTACTTTGGTAACATCAGATGGAAGATATATAAAAGAGGTTAAATGTAGAGTACCTCAAGCAAAGGCAGCATTTTATAAAACGAATTTGGCATTTGAGACGAGAAAGAGAATTGTCAAAAGCTACTTAGAAAGATCAAAAGAGTACTGAAGACGTCTTGAAAGAAACTGACTCATGAATAGAACTGATTGCCAACATCAGAAGGAGACAATCTAGATTCTTTGCTCATGTAAGGAAAACAAAACTATAGTGCATCGTGATAGTAAGAAAACTGGAAGGGAGACGAGGCAGAGGGAGAGGAAAGGACAGGCTGGATGGCTCTACGTCACGGCATTGAGGATTATCTGTATCTGAGTTGACTGAAAGTACAAGAAACAGTAGGTTATGTATAGATATGACAACCAATGTGACATTGCATGGACTTGAAGAAGAAGAAGATCAACTGAAATGGTTCACAGTGATCGTCAGAATACCATGTAGCAAGAAGAACAATTATTACTGAGAGCATAAAAGATCTAACAAATCAGGAAAGATTGACTTGTCTCAGAAACAACTATTTTGATCTGAATAAATGTCGAGACTAATAAGGGAACACGGTATAAGTGACAACAAGTATAGAAAATTGCACAGAGCGGGACGTTGCCAAGTGACTGAGCTTCTTTCCGACTGGCTGCGATGAAAGCGACGGTTTGCAAAAGAACTGCTTCATGGAGATGATGTGAACTAAAAGACAAAATACCAGTGTCAAAATATACAGACCGACGGTTTTTGCAAACGACAGAAAGCAACAGGGGCAGTGATTAGGGAGGTTTTCTAAAAAAATATCTTAACATACTTGTCTCCCTCTTCTTTTTCTTCTTCTTCTTCTTCTTCTTCTTCTTCTTCTTCTTCTTCTTCTTCTTCTTCTTCTTCTTCTTCTTCTTCTTCTTCTTCTTCTTCTTCTTCTTCTTCTTCTTCTTTTTCTTCTTTTTCTTCTTCTTTCTTTTTCTTCTTCGATGTTCGCCCTTAAAAGTCACTTGTTTGGTACAGCAAGTCGCGAAATCCGCTCCATTCGGTCCAACGCCTCTTACTAGTTGCCTTTCACGAAAAGCTTGTTAGTGACAACAATTATGACCGCCCCATCCAGGAACCCACACAGGCGTGGGGTGGGATTAGTGGGGTGAGGGTTAATAGATTAACAAAAGTAACAACTGATTCTAGCAATTAATGTAACTACGTGACAAACAAATGTTGTTCCCTTACCAGGGTCCGTAGGCTTCACTGTAAAAAGACAGAAGTAGCATGTAGGTCATTTTATAAAGGGAAGTGTTTGCTCTATTCTAATTCAAAGTTTGCATCAATAAATACTAAAGATTTATAATTGCTGATAGATTTATAAAGTTTTGTACACATGCGAAAACGCCTTTATATTCATAAAATTGTAATATCTTTAAATATTGGAAAAATATTTATAATATACTTATATCTGTACACATTTCTTTGTATTAATGAAATACTAATTTTTTAAGTAATCATGATTTGAACATCAGTCGTCAGTGAGGTTGGTGGATTTTCCAAGGTATCTCATTTCCGAAACCTCATTCAACTCTACAGAGAGACGACCTTCGATGGCATGCTATCTTATGTCCACACCGGACAGCGCTATGCGGGCTCAGTCCTCCGAAACGGGATCCACTCCAAAGTACGTTTACTGATTGTTCCCATGAGAATTTGGTTACAGTATCACCTGTTTTCACCTGGAGGAAAACATAGACGTGCTTCAGAGAGCTCTACTCCCAGCTCACCCAGTCGAGTAAGCGTCAGGGATTCAGCATTAGTCCCCAACCTAGTTGATGGTATGAATATTCCACGTAACAGCATTACAATACAGCAGATAAATTTGTTTAGTGGATAGAGTGTCCATTGACGGACCTAAAATCCTGGTGTCAAATCAAAATCAAGCTAAACATTTTTTTTCTTCAAAATTTACCTCGATTATCATGTAGACCCAGCCTACAATTGGTTATGCCAGGTAATGTCCTGGGAAACAAAGGCAGCCAGTGAACTATGCTACACATCATCTACCAACACACAACACAATATGTAGTGTGCCGATCAAAAACATGCCTCAACGGCTATCCACAGTACAATGGTAAGGTAACCTATAACTGTAAGAGCACAAGACACCTCACAACATACTAGTTGTGACGTTACATAGAAACAAGTTCTCAGAACTCACCGTATCCTTGGGTCTCAGGAACTGGTGACAGAACAGAGGATATTAAAATTTATTTACATTTATCATGTGCAAATATAAACATAATCTCACGTGTATATATATATATATGTATGTTTGTCGGCCTATCTGTCTATATATATATATATATATATATATATATATATATATATATATATATATATATATATAGATAGATAGATAGATAGATAGATAGATAGATAGATAGATAGATAGATAGATAGATAGATAGATAGATAGATAGATAGATAGATAGATAGATAGATAGATAGATAGATAGATAGATAGATAGATAGATAGATAGATAGATAGATAGATAGATAGATAGATAGATAGATAGATAGATAGATAGATAGATAGATAGATAGATAGATAGATAGATAGATAGATAGATAGATAGATAGATAGATAGATAGATAGATAGATAGATAGATAGATAGATAGATAGATAGATAGATAGATAGATAGATAGATAGATAGATAGATAGATAGATAGATAGATAGATAGATAGATAGATAGATAGATAGATAGATAGATAGATAGATAGATAGATAGATAGATAGATAGATAGATAGATAGATAGATAGATAGATAGATAGATAGATAGATAGATAGATAGATAGATAGATAGATAGATAGATAGATAGATAGATAGATAGATAGATAGATAGATAGATAGATAGATAGATAGATAGATAGATAGATAGATAGATAGATAGATAGATAGATAGATAGATAGATAGATAGATAGATAGATTAGATAGATAGATATATTAGATAGATAGATAGCTAGATAGATAGATAGCTAAATAGATAGATAGCTAGATAGATAGATAGATAGATAGATAGATAGATAGATAGATAGATAGATAGATAGATAGATAGATAGATAGATAGATAGATAGATAGATAGATAGATAGATAGATAGATAGATAGATAGATAGATAGATAGATAGATAGATAGATAGATAGATAGATAGATAGATAGATAGATAGATAGATAGATAGATAGATAGATAGATAGATAGATAGATAGATAGATAGATAGATAGATAGATAGATAGATAGATAGATAGATAGATAGATAGATAGAACGAACGAACGAATGAACGAACAAACTTTATTTTTAAAGGGTTGAGAATTGGGCACGCAGGCCCGTCTAACATTCTGCCTGTCGAGGTCTCCCTCCATTCTTACATCATTTCATTCACACATCAAGTAATATTAAAAGTTAGCAATAGCATCAAAATAATCAATACAAGCACTGGAATGTGCACATTTCTAACTACAATAAAACGTATTAGTTGTAACAAATCTAAGAAAAATGAGCGCTATTTTTCACATATGTTTTATCTTTTATGGGGGCATATAATCGGTGCTCAGATAATATTCGAACAGTTTTCGATTGTATGTATATGGACTAGTAGTACTTTTGATTTGCTGTGGTAGATAGTTCCACAATTGAGCTGCGGAATATGACAGACTTGTTTTATAAAGGTCTATCCTAGGTTTAGGGATGTGTAATATGTTTAGACGCTTACTATGCCGTTCATTATATTTGAACAACGGCCATAAGTAACATGGAGCCTTTTGAAATAATATTTTGTAAGTATATTTTGCCTTATTGAAAAGTAGACGTTCACGAAGCGGTAGTAGTCTAAGACCTTTATATGTTTCGGAGCTCAGTGTTCCATGATTGTTACTAATTGAGCGAATGGCGCGCTTTTGCAGTGATGTGAGTCGCTTGATAACAGAGCTGGAACAGCCATCCCATATTGTAGAGCAATAGTCTACATGTGTCTGGATGTGAGAAATATAGAATATCTTTCTTGTGTGTTCATCAAGAAAGTTTTTAATTTTTGCAAGCTGGTAAACCTTTTTAGCTGTTTGCTTCACAAGTGCTTGTACGTGTGAGTTGAATGTTAGATTTGCATCAATTACCAACCCCAGTGTCTTGTGCTCAGTTACATTTTCTACTTGAGTGCTCCCAATGTAGAGTTGAAGCGTTCTCTGAGAATTTAAACTGTATAGTTTTTGCCTGGTCGTTATTAGCATAGATTTGGTTTTATTAATGTTTATTTGCATACGGTTTGCACTGCTCCATTGGACTACATTATTTAATTCTTGTTGTAATGAGGACTCTAGTAAATTACATGTTTGAGCATTTGCATAGATGGTACAGTCGTCTGCGAATAAATCACAGGACGACGACAGACATAAAGGAAGGTCATTTATGTAGATATTGAATAACAGAGGACCGAGAATCGAGCCTTGAGGTACCCCAGTATTTAATTCAGTGGCTTGTGATAGTGATTTATTGTAACAGATTATTTGTTTTCTATTTAACAAAAAGGATTTTATTAACTGTAATAGTCTAGGGTTAAATTTCATTGTTTCTAATTTTCTTATAAGAATGTTATGGTCTATCATATCAAAAGCTTTCCTAAAGTCTATAAACACCCCGCCACATATTTTCTCATCATTAACATTCTGGTGCCATTTTTCAATCATGTTAGTTAAAGCAGTATGGCAAGAATAGTTTGGTCGAAAACCTGATTGGTTATCCACTATAAGTTTGTTGTGATCTAAGTGCTGAAAAGTTACATTATGAATATGTTTCTCTAGTGGTTTCGATAGTGATGATAACAGGGAGATTGGTCTATAGTTACCTGGAATACTACTGTCTAAGGAACCAGATTTTAGATGCGGATACACTTTGGCAATCTTAAATGCAGATGGAAAGTAGCCTTTGACAAGACATTGGTTGTAAATAAAGGTCATCGACTCACAAATAACTGGGGCAGCACTACGAAGGATCCTATTGCTGATTCCGTCTAAACCGGACGTATTACTGTTTCTGAGACTGTTGAAATGTATAAAAACTTCCGCAACTGTCATGAGAGGAATGTCAGAAGGAATGTCTTCAGAGCATTAATTTTCACAAAATGCTGATAGCAGTGATAAATCACATGGACAGTTTGGCATTGTGGCTTTTACATTTTCTATATTGGCTTCAAAGAAATTACTGAAATCATTCGATGTTATATTAGATGTCTGCAAACGCGTGGAAGTACCTTCGTTTGTCAATGTATTGATTGCCTTCCATATGTCTTTGCTGTTTATTTTATCTACTATTAGCTGTTTAAAAAAGTTCTTTTTTTCCTTACGAATGATATACTGGACTTTGTTTCGCAGATTCCGGTATGTGATTATATCCTTCTTTTTATGCGCCCTATCTCGCTCTCTCATGATTGCAACTACCTCCTGTGTGATCCAAGGGGATTTAGTTTGATGTTTTACACGGACCTCCTTAACTGGCACATGCTTATCAAATACACTAGAGAAGGTCTTCAGCCAATATTCAAGAGCGTCATCTGAATCAGAGAGCTGATAAACGTGGTCAAGAGGTGAATTGAACAAGTCTAGTAGGAATGCATCTTGATTAAAATTTTTATAGCTTCTAAATTTAATACTTACATGCTTTTGTTTAACAGTTTTTACGCTTTTTTTATTCCACAAACAAATTACGGGGTAATGGTCACTCAGTGCTGTAGTGGGTACCTTGCATTATATAATGTTGTCAGGACACGTTGCATAAATATGGTCTATAAGGGTTGACGACGATTTGGTTATTCTAGTAGCTTGTTTAACTAGTTGTTTGAGATTAAATGAGGTAATTATGTCTTCCCACGTCTTGTTGGATTTTAGGGCATTTATATTGAAGTCCTCAAGAAGTATAATTTCCCCTGCATTGTTGAACACCATATCCATCATATTGGTAAAGTTGTCATACCATATATTATCAGCGCTAGGATTGCGGTAGAGATAACCAACTACGATGGGTTTGTGGTTTTGTAGCTTAACTTCTAAAAATATGCATTCTACATCGCTAGTCTCTAAGTCTAGTCTACGTTGGACATTAAGTGAATTACTGACGTAGACCGCTATACCCGTTTCTTGTTTCTTATGTGGGTCTCTCCTAATAACACTAAAACCATTAACATGTATATCATCATCTGTAATGTTGTCATTTAATCTACTCTCACTAAGACCGAACATCTGAAAATGTTTACTAAGAATAAGGGACAGTTCGGGCAGTTTTCCCAGATAGATAGATAGATAGATAGACAGACAGACAGACAGACAGACAGACAGACAGACAGACAGACAGACAGACAGACAGACAGACAGACAGACAGACAGACAGACAGACAGACAGACAGACAGACAGACAGACAGACAGACAGACAGACAGACAGACAGACAGACAGACAGACAGACAGACAGACAGACAGACAGACAGACAGACAGACAGACAGACAGACAGACAGATAGATAGATAGATAGATAGATAGATAGATAGATAGATAGATAGATAGATAGATAGATAGATAGATAGATAGATAGATAGATAGATAGATAGATAGATAGATAGATAGATAGATAGATAGATAGATAGATAGATAGATAGATAGATAGATAGATAGATAGATAGATAGATAGATAGATAGATAGATAGATAGATAGATAGATAGATAGATAGATAGACAGACAGACAGACAGACAGACAGACAGACAGACAGACAGACAGACAGACAGACAGACAGACAGACAGACAGACAGACAGACAGACAGACAGACAGACAGACAGACAGACAGATAGATAGACATAGATAGATAGATAGATAGATAGATAGATAGATAGATAGATAGATAGATAGATAGATAGATAGATAGATAGATAGATAGATAGATAGATAGATAGATAGATAGATAGATAGATAGATAGATAGATAGATAGATAGATAGATAGATAGATAGATAGATAGATAGATAGATAGATAGATAGATAGATAGATAGATATAGATAGATAGATAGATAGATAGATAGATAGATAGATAGATAGATAGATAGATAGATAGATAGATAGATAGATAGATAGATAGATAGATAGATAGATAGATAGATAGATAGATAGATAGATAGATAGATAGATAGATAGATAGATAGATAGATAGATAGATAGATAGATAGATAGATAGATAGATAGATAGATAGATAGATAGATAGATAGATAGATAGATAGATAGATAGATAGATAGATAGATAGATAGATAGATAGACAGATAGAAAGATAGAAAGATAGATAGATAGATAAAAGGATGGATGGATGGATGGATAAAAGGATGGATGGATAAAAGCGTGGACGAATGGATAAAAGGATGGATGGATAAAAGGATAAATGTATGGATGGATAAAAGGATGGATGGATAAAAGGATGGACGAATGGATAAAAGAATGGATGGATAAAAGGACAAACGGATAAATTGATGAATGGATAAACGGATGGATGGATAAAAGGATGGATGGATAAAAGGATGGATGGATAAAAGGATGGATAGATAAAAGGATGGATGGATAAAGGGATGGATGGATAAAAGGATGGATAGATAAAAGGATGGATAGATAAAAGGATGGATGGATAAAAGGATGAATAGATAAAAGGATGGATATATAAAAGCATGGATAGATAAATGGATGGATTGATAAAGGACGGAATGGATGAAATGATGGATGGATAAAAGAATGGATGGATAAAAGTATGGATGGATAAAAGGATGGATGGATAAAAGGATGGATGGATAAAAGGGTGGAAGAATAGATAAAAGGATGGATGGATAAAAGAATGGATAGATAAAAGGATGGATGGATAAAAGGGTGGAATAATGGATAGAAGGATGGATGAATGAATGGATGGATAGACGGATGGATAGATGGATTAACGAATATATACGTTAACCGACTGATTGTCTCACCACTGCAGATGCTAGCGGCCACTCTCTTCTCTATGCGACCCAGACAATTGAAGTTGTCGGCAGAGAAGACATAATTGGTGTCGCTGGCGATGTTCTTCAACTCCTCCTGCAAGCCGCCTCCGATGCCCACAGATATGACAGTGACTCCAGTGTTCTTCAAAGCGGTTGCTGCCGTCTTTGCTGCGGATATCATTAAGGAATCTCTCATACTCACTTCTAACTACGAGATCGTTATGTCAGTAGTTTAAACATTCATAAAGCAGTGTGAAGTCAAGGTGAAAAATTGATTAAGTTTCTGTAAATGTAATTAGTTTTGACATCAAACAATCAATCAAAAAGTCCTTGACAATACGCGGCTCTGTTCACAGCATGCCTCAAAGTCTATTTTACCCATGCTCAGTCTCCAGCCTGTGTGTTTTAAAAGCACCTTGAGTGTCATCTATCCACTGTGTGGAAGTCGGTTTCTGCTTCGCTTTCAGTAAACTGCAGCCGCCACTAGCATGTTAAATACACAATGTCTCCCGAATACTTACGACGGAGTGCCATCAGATTCCAACACAGCGCTGCCATGATCTTCATGACAGAAACACAGCATATTCTATGCAAATAGCCATATGAACTAATTCTTCTTTTTCTTCTTCTTCTTCTGACCAAGATCACACGGGATAACAAACAGGGAGTATTGGCTGGGAACTTAATTTAAGAGAATCAAGAGGCCAGACAAATCACAGGCACTGAAAAGCGAAAAATTGGAACAAAATCCATCCGATGATAGAATGACATTACACTGGAGTCCACGAAACGAAACAAATAAATGGAAACTAAAATTTGCCCCCCCCCCCCTCTTCTGTTCCCAGCGTTGCTAACACACACACACACAAACAAACAAACACACACACGCATATATACACACACATGCACAGTTAGAGATTAGATAAAACGGTATAGATGATTTAGGGTGAGTTGCACACATGGCACACAATTGGACAACTTGTCACGAGTTAGTTTGGGGCTGTGCTGTAGCAGGAGCTCGGGTCAAAACAAAGAGATTCATACACAGATATCCTAAATTAGGTGATTGTATGGTAATCATATGGCTGTTAATAAACATGTCTACAACGTTTCTGTGTCAGATGAATTAAATTTGCCCTAATACTGCCCATACAGGTGTTTATCTACTCACTGGCTGCCCAGTGGATGTATATACTTACTGCCTGTCCGGTTGTCCGAGTAGCCATCTGTGAGGACGACCACAATCTTACTGGACAGTTCGCGAGCACCATTACTTGTGTCAAACAATCTGTTGACCCGGATGTAGTCCAATGCCAGGTAGGTTTTAGTTCCTCCTGCCAGGTAGGCCGTTTTTCGCAAAGCCTAGGCACATAAAGTATACCAGATCAAAACCTGTACATAACATTTACCAGATCAAAGCTCGGACATAAGTACATAAAATCAAAACCTGGAAAATGCATATACCAGATCAAAGCTCGGACATAAGTGCACTAGATCAAAACATGGACATAACATATACCTAGATCAAAACATGGACATAAAATATACTAGATCAAAGCCTAGTCACATAAAGTATACCAAATTAAAATCTGGATATAACATATACCATATCAAAGCCTGGACATAAAATATACCTAGATAAAAGCCCAGACATAAAATATACCTAGTTCAAAACATAGACATAAAATATGCTAAATCAAAGCCTAGAGACATAAAGTATACCAGATCAAAACCTGGGTATAAAATATACCATATCAAAGCCTAGACACATAAAGTGCACCAGCTAAAAACCTGGACATAAAATATACCTATATCATAACCTGGACATAACATATACCAGATCAAAGCCCGGATATAAAATATACCTAGGTCAAAACCTGGACATACAGTATACTAGATCAAAACGTGGACAATTAACATGTAATAGGTGTAAGCCTAGACAACACCATGGTGTCACGGTTAGGCGGTCACCAAAAGGGCGTAGGTTAGGGTCCTCACATTCGATTTGTTTAAAATGACTTTGGCTCCTAAGTCGACCTAAATTTGACTGGGTACCAGGTACAGTCCTGGGAAGTAAAGACCTCGGCGTGATGCTGACCACATGACCCATCAACTGCCGACTGGTCTACGTACAGATGCCCAATATGCACGAAGGCTGGTAAAATAATCCATTGAAATAGCCCTGACAAACAATATTTGCTAGATCGAATCCTGAGCATAAAATATACGAAGCCCAAAGCCTGGACAAATATTATGCAAGACAAAAGTCTGGACACAAAATGTACTCTGATAAACATCTTGACATAAAATATACCCAGATAAAAGGCTAAAAAAAGAACAAACTGGATAGAAACATGGATATAAAATAAACTTATGTTGACGCCTCGACATATACTGATATCAAAGTTAATTATACTTACATCAAAGTCAGGACATACAACATGGTATACTAAATCCATGACATAACTTTGTACATGAAAGCAAGCCAAGCGATGTGCCTTACGACTCATGTGTACATGAAAGCAAGCCAAGCGATGTGCCTTACGACTCATGTGTACATGAAAGCAAGCCAAGCGATGTGCCTTACGACTCATGTGTACATGAAAGCAAGCCAAGCGATGTGCCTTACGACTCATGTGTACATGAAAGCAAGCCAAGCGATGTGCCTTACGACTCTGTGTACATGAAAGCAAGCCAAGCGATGTGCCTTACGACTCTGTGTACATGAAAGCAAGCCAAGCGATGTGCCTTACGACTCATGTGTACATGAAAGCAAGCCAAGCGATGTGCCTTACGACTCTGTGTACATGAAAGCAAGCCAAGCTATGTGCCCTACGACTCTGTGTACATGTATGTTCTCGTCTGTTGGCAATGAACTGCAGCAGCAATATTACACTGCATGAGCACCAAAAGCGTTTCACTCTCTCGTGGTTTTCTCAATGAGTTCTGGATTTTTCATTGTATGCGCGCTAGGCAATCAAAAAAATAACCATTCATGTTTGTTCGTTGCCGCTCGAGCAGATGCACTCCAACTTTGAAAAAAACTTCCAATAAATCGACTCATACGACGTTCTTTTTTGTTTTTGTTTTTTGGTGGGCAGTGTGTCTGTTCTTCGTTTTGTATTATAGGAGCCCCAGAACCCATACTAGGAATTATGAACTTCACTGTCATTTGTAATTCACTCACAGACCCGTCACGTTTTCTACTTATATTTGAATTACAGCGAGATACAAGTCTCGTGTATGTGTTCCTTGCAACCTATTATTACATACCTACATATCGTTTTACTTCAAGCAACGAAATCCCCCGGATATCTTTTTCTGACCATAAGATACAGCCTACATATACTATACGATATAAGCATACATGTTATGTACTCACAACGTGACACAAACCAATGCATATTTTAAATCCACAAGATAAAACCGCAAGTATATTGTATTTGGTTAGTTGCGTATCCTTTACAGGACGTTGCAGAACCAACCCCAACAGCCCTGGCTGTTTAGATGTTTTTCTTGGCAGATTTACGTCCAGTAGTTTGCCATTGCTTTTTGAACGGCTCTTTGATACCACTGTCGAAACCGACGCAAGGCGCATGGCCCGCAGCTGGGATCGAACCCGGCATCCCGGCATTACAAAGCGTTCACATCGACTTAGCAACAGAGCCGACTATATTGTATTTACGCTAAAATAAAAGCATAGTGATTTGTTACTATTACTTACTGTCTTGAGGGCGTCGCTCGAGGAGTAGGTCCCAAGTTTAAACCCCAGCTGAACTCTGTCGCTGAATGAGACCGTTCCGAAACGAGCCTCTGCAGCTCCGACATTGAAATGCTCTGATAGTTTGACAGCAAACTCTTCCTCCAAATCAAACTCAGCCCGACTCATGCTTGATGACGTGTCTAATACCAGGATAATATCGGCAATGGCTGAGCATTTCTCCACTGTCGGTTAAAGGATGAATTCTTTCATGTAACTTTCAGTTATAGCATTTAAAACATATAGAATGGAATCTAAGGATATGAACTGGATCCATTTTATGACTGAGATCGTATGGTGAATATTTTCTATCCTGTGACAATTTTTCACTTTAAAATTAATGCAAATATTTCTCATTTGTCCCTGTGTTTGAAAAATTAACACACACACAAAAAAAAGTCAATATAAGTCAAATGTGTTTTTTCGTTTCGTTTACGGCTACTTTCAATCATGATGTAAGTTGACTTTAAAGTTAACAATCTGAACATTTGTACAAGTTACGGAAAGATTTTATAGATGGTTGCTAGTGACCGCTTCCAAAAATGTGTCCGTCCAATTAGGAGTTGACATGTTGAACTATGTGCAAATGTTGAAAAACTGTTCGTTGGATAAATACAAGTATTGAGTGAGTCAAAGCTCTACCAGAGACAGTCAGCTGAACAGATAGAAACAAAGCGACGCCTATAAGATTAGCCCTAGGACATTCATCTGCTTTATTGCTAAAAGTTGCCTTCAGGATGATAGTTTACACGTTGCAATATGTAATCTTGTAGTAAAGCTAGCTGTCAGTTATCACAGTTGACCAACAGAGTTGACTTCAGGATGATAGTTTACACGTTGCAATATGTAATCTTGTAGTAAAGCTAGCTGTCAGTTATCACAGTTGACCAACAGAGTTGCCTTCAGGATGATAGTTTACACGTTGCAATATGTAATCTTGTAGTAAAGCTAGCTGTCAGTTATCACAGTTGACCAACAGAGTTGCCAAACTAAAACTTTTTGCAAGTAAAGAAACAATCTGCCACCTGTTTTGATAAAGTCGGCTATGGGAAAATAAAGAAAAAAGTGTCCATTGGTATCAATGATGACATTTTGCAGTACGTAAAAATGTTAAAAACATGTCTGTTGGAAAAGAAATTTATTAAATTAGCAACAAATCTACCCTAGACAGATTGCTGTATATGTACTTGTCGAAAATTTTGGAAGACTTTTAAACGTACAGTAAAACATTGTCACATTTGCTACAGCCAGGCAGACGATTGGGAAAAACAGTAAGATGGACATAACAGTTGAAGTTACGGTTAGTTGGTCAGACGGGCAGACAAAGTTTTGAAATCGGTCCTTTTAATTTGTAAAATATCGCGAAGTCACTTATGATTTAGCGAGGCATTTCTGACTTGCCGACTACAAGTCATCAATATATTTGTTTTTTTAAATTTATTTTAAAAAGAAAATCACTTTTGTAAGAGTCGGTAAGTTGGAAGTTGGATAGATAGTGTGTTGAGAACACTAGATAGTGAGTTGAGAACATTAGATAGTGTGTTGAGAACACTAGATAGTGAGTTGAGAACACTAGATAGTAAGTTGAGAACACTAGATAGTGAGTTGAGAACACTAGATAGTGAGTTGAGAACTGTAGATAGTGAGTTGAGAACACTAGATAGTGAGTTGAGAACACTAGATAGTGAGTTGAGAACACTAGATAGTGAGTTGAGAACACTAGATAGTGAGTTGAGAACACTAGATAGATAGTGAATTGAGAACACTAGATAGTGAGTTGAGAACACTAGATAGTGAGTTGAGAACACTAGATAGTGAGTTGAGAACACTAGATAGTGAGTTGAGAACATTAGATAGTGTGTTGAGAACACTAGATAGTGAGTTGAGAACACTAGATAGTGAGTTGAGAACACTAGATAGTGAGTTGAGAACACTAGATAGTGAGTTGAGAACACTAGATAGTGAGTTGAGAACACTAGATAGTGAGTTGAGAATACTAGATAGTGTGTTGAGAACACTAGATAGTGAGTTGAGAACACTAGATAGTGTGTTGAGAACATTAGATAGTGTGTTGAGAACACTAGATAGTGAGTTGAGAACACTAGATAGTGAGTTGAGAACACTAGATAGTGAGTTGAGAACACTAGATAGTGAGTTGAGAACACTAGATAGTGAGTTGAGAACACTAGATAGTGAGTTGAGAACACTAGATAGTGAGTTGAGAACATTAGATAGTGAGTTGAGAACACTAGATAGTGAGTTGAGAACACTAGATAGTGAGTTGAGAACAACAGTGAAAGTAGTTGCCTAAAAAGTCTTGGCGATGTCTGCTTTGCGGAAGATTGCCCTGACATGCAACACGAATAGTTGGAAAAAGGCCGCTTGCTAGTTAGGGCTTATTTACGTAGCAATAAATTCTCCTGGATGGACTAAAACGCTTTAAGTCTATTGTATAATGTTACTAATCTTCCCTGGTATAAAATCTGAACATAGTTTGGTGGGCTACAATACAGCGAAAAGTCGCCCTAATTTGCTTTGAAAGTAACCTGTGATAGTTGTAGCCGTATAGACACACAGCCCACGTGCCACGTTTTCATTTTTTTAAGCATTGCAGGCAGTAACAGGCTGCGACAGGCAGTACCAGGCAGTACCAGGCAGTATCAGGCAGTACCGGGCAGCAACAGGCAGTACCAGGCAGCAACAGGCAGCGACAGGCAATGCAGGCAGTACCAGGCAGTACCAGGCAGTACCAGCAGTACCAGGCAGTACCAGGCAGTACCAGGCAGTACCAGGCAGTACCAGGCAGTACCAGGCAGTACCAGGCAGTACCAGGCAGTACCAGGCAGTACCAGGCAGCAACAGGCAGTACCAGGCAGTACCAGGCAGTACCAGGCAGTACCAGGCAGTACCAGGCAGTACCAGGCAGCAACAGTTATTGCTAGCTACTGCAAGACGCAGGGCTGCATTATAACTGATACTCCCCTACAGAATTATTGACATCAAATATTACATTTGACTAGATCAAACGTATCCAATAATAATATGAAATATAAAATGTCACTAGATCAAAGGTGTCCAACATTGACACTAAATATATAATGTCACTAGATCAAACATATCCAATACTAATATGAAATTAAATATAAAATGTCACTAGATCAAAGGTGTCCAACATTGACACTAAATATAAAATGTCACTAGATCAAAGGTGTCCAACATTGACACTAAATATATAATGTCACTAGATCAAAGGTGTCCAACATTGACACTAAATATAAAATGTCACTAGATCAAAGGTGTCCAACATTGACACTAAATATAAAATGTCACTAGATCGAACTTGTCCAACAATTAATTTATACAAATTGGCATAAAATTAAATGTCCTGATATGACACAAATCCACAATGTCACACCCACCTTCTTCGGTACTTTGTGGCCCTATTAGGAAATAAATAAAAACAAAATGTTACAAATACAATTCAATTACAAATATTTTTATAAGAGAAAAATGTATATAAGAAATACTGTCAGATTTAAAATAATCTTAGCACATTATAATATCAATTTTTAGTGTACCCTCTCCACTAACCACTATCAGATATGTGCTTGTTCATCCATTCATATATGTAAATTGTCCCACTTGTAAAGTTTGTTACCTCTTGCTTGGTAGTGTTGTCTTCTCTCTACTGTCATAAATTTATTAGACTTTTGCCCTTTAATATCTGGTACTGTTCCTAGCGACCTTGCATATCATGATATATAGGACCTAGCGCATTTATGGACGATGCAACTATAACAGGCTATAAAAGTGACGCACGCGTTATTCTGCACAGGCTTGACTGCGTGGTAGAATGGTGTATCATATAATCCAAGACCCAGAAGTCAAGAAGTTTGTCGACCCAGTTAGCAGTAGCCCGAGCAGAGGTTAAACGGACATCAGTTACTTAAGTGATTTGAAAGTTCTGTTCAATTAGACGCTTGAACCAGTCTACCGAAGACTATCCCCGACGTCGTTCTGTATATAAATTTGCATATAAAAACCGCAACAACCAAAAAAGAAATCGTGTTGGTTCTGCAACGTCCTGTAAAAGACATACGAAAATAACTGTTAACGGTACATGTATCTTAATCAGTTGTCGTTGAATATCTGATGAGCTGCTGCCACCTTAGCCAGTGAGACGCAGTGTACTGATGACTTTGAGGCTTGTCCAGTCAAAGTTTTGTATATGAACCTTTCAAACTTTTATCTCCTCATCTTCCCCTTTACTGCGCCCTATAGAAGCCAGCTGATCTTGCTACATACCTCTAGCATTGCATTTGTCAGTATTGTAAGTGTTGTTAAAAGAGATTCATATGTACATGGCTTATGTTGACAGATCCTAACTCCTGTAGGTGTAACATCATTAGAACAACAGATGATCCACCCAGAAACCATCCAAGACTACGTAGGCGCACACAACATTATTGTTTTTAAAACAATTAATGATTTTAAAAAAAAGGAAATATTATTCCAAGATCACTAATACTTACACAACCTAATGTCAGTGACATCAATGTTTTTTAAACAAAAGATGATCAAACAAGAAATTAACAAAGATTACACAGGCTTACACAACCTAATGTCAGTGACATCAATGTTTTTTAAACAACAGATGACCAAACAAGAAATTAACAAAGATTACACAGGTTTACACAACCTAATGTCAGTGACATCAATGTTTTTTAAACAACAGATGATCAAACAAGAAATTACCAAAGATTACACAGGTTTACACAACCTGATATAACACGCACCAGAGTGTCTAAACAATAGATTGTAAAACAAGAAATAATCCATAATTACTTACGTTGCCACCAGCCATTGGGATCTACAACAGTGCCGACATGATCTGTGCCAACCGTCCCGCCGGTGCTGACATACCTCCCGGGACCACAGCGACCACGTCCTCCACCACGTCCCCCACCACGACCTCCACCACGACCTCCACCATGACCTCTACTTTGACCTCCACTTTGACTTCCACTTTGACTTCCACCATGACCTCCACCTCGACCTCCACCATGACCTCCACCATGTCCTCCCCGATAACCTCCCCCTCGTCCTCCGCCACCACGATAACCTCCTGAAAGGAGACCATATTCGTCAAAATTAGCAGGTCGGTAGAACTCATCAAATCGGGTAATTGTGATGATCGGTGTAAGGAAAAAAAAAGGGGGGGGGGGGGTTGAAACATATAATTCGGGCGTAAAGGCTGATATCTTTGTTTCTCTCCCTTACAGTCACACACACATACATACATATACACATATAAATACAGTTTATATTGTCATAGTACGCGGTCGTACGTCGGCTCTGTGGCTAAGTCGATGCGAACGCTTTGTTATGCCGGGATGCCGGGTTCGATCCCCATTGCGGGCCATGCGCCTCGCGTTGGTTTTGACAGTGGTATCAAAGAAGCTGACCATCCAGAAAAAGCAATGGCAAACTACTGGACGTAAATTTGCCTAGAAAAACCCACACAACAGCCAGGTGCTGTTGAGGTTAGTTCTGCAACGTCCTGTAAAGGATACGCAACTAACCTAGACTCAGTTAAACATACACTCGTACTGAATAAAGAAGACATTATGAAGACAATTTATAAAAGAATACTGACAGAAGACTCGAGGTTAGAGAAGATAATATGTGTAAGAATGTGTGGCCGTGGAATGAGGTGTGGAACCAGAAAGCGGTGACGTACGAAAGGTATAACCTCGGTATGTTCAGTGTCCGACAGGGACAGTTGGCATCTACACCTTTTGACATGTGCTGCGGGTATGGATGATACCAGTCTGCTATGATGTCTTTTCTTTAAAAAAAATCAGCAATCATCCATTCCTCTATTTATAATTATTATTATATCATCATCATCATCAGTATGCACATACACAAGGTTTGAGAACTTTAAGAACACAACCCATGGCCCCAAGGAAATAATCAGAAAGTTAAACAACCGACACCCCTTCCTATATAATATTTTCTGGACGCTGACGCCCCTGCATTATAATCAGTCAGTCAGACAATAAAATACTTCTCGCGCCATGTTAGGTATATATTTCATAGACACATGCGAAAACATGCCCACCTCCTTTGCTTCGCAGGAATTTTCAACAGTACCAGTCTTAGATGCAAGCCATCTTTGGGTGCTCAGTAATAATGATAATGTTAATAATAATGTTTGTTGTTCGTTCTGCACAAGCAATGAACATCCCTGTTCTTGCATCCATCATGAAACGATAACAGGTTGTCTGTTAGTGCAGACATCCCTTATAAGACACATGAGGGAAGGAAGGATCTAGGAGACTAAGCCCAGGAAACAGTGATTGTAGGTAGAGGGCCAATATCAAAATTATTAATACAACTAATAAAAAGTAAGTATAATAAAAATGTGCTGTATGGAGAATAAATACAACTATATATGAACAATAATATGATACATAAACATAAATATTTTCAAAAGGAAAATCATGGTTGGACAGGAAAATCTATACATGGTTCGACAGGAAAATCTATACATGTTTGGAAGAGAACATCTATACATGGTTGGACAGGAGGGAGGAGGGGGGGGGGGGTGGTGGAGGGACGTAGCCTCTTACACATTCACTAGTGTCGTCTCAGCGCCCCGCCACTTCTCTCCCACAAAAATTGTTTTTGGAGAAGGGGCGAAGGGGAGGGGGTGATGATTTATGTAGCAATCATTTACCAACACCCTTGCAGTCTACCAACAGTTACAAAGACTTAGTTGCATTATGCCATAACACATGGCTAGAGAAAATATGTAAGCACTTACTCTGGTAGTGTCTTTTCATTCTGGAGAGCTCAGTCGATACAGCAAGAACGCACAGGCCCAACAGCAGCAACAACAATACACACTTCATTGTGGAAGGTCTGCAAAACGTCACAGGTACACTAATGTAAATTTAATAAGCGGGTCGACATGGCCAAGTGGTCATGACATTTGACTCGTGCTCTCGAGGTCCTGGGTACTTTTCACGATGGCGTCCAGTGCTTGACCAGTAATGGCAACGACAGTGTTAGCAAGATAGTCTGCACGCTCGTTCCCTTGAACACCCGTAAAATAAATACATTTTGTCTATTTTCTAACTGAGGAGTCCTTTACGGCCAACCAGTGTTTCTATAGTCAGTCTTGTCCCCTCTGTGTAGCGAATGGATCAACTTTCTAAGTTTCAGGTTACGCTGAGACAGATGCATGGAATGTTTGTTGTATGAGCGTGTGTTTGCTTGTCTGTCTGTATGTGTAGGTGAATTCTTCAACAATGAAGACATCCACATGAGAGAAGGGCAACAAGAAACAATCGACCACGAAGTTGCTATAGCTGTGGTATAGGAGGTTTTTTTTTCGACATAAAGGAATTTGGTTCGATTCCACATCGTAATGTTCGTCAACATAATGGAATTCGCCTCTAAGGTCGAACCAACAATTTAACATGAGTTCAAGAGAATATCATAGGAAGTAAAGAGCGGTCATTATCATCTTGACCACGTCAGTCCCAGAGTGCCTGTTCATCGGTAAAGTATGTCTAGTATTAGATGTGCGATCAGCCAGTGACTTTAAATCGGATCACTTGTTTAATCTTCTTCTTCTCTCGTGATTTTTGGCCAGGTTTTGCCTTACTGTGTTGTATCTGGGGTAGTCTTGGAGAAGGTGGTCTATTGTTTGAGGTGCCAATCTACAAGTACACATGGCTGATTCGCCCATCTTAGAAGTTCTGTACATGTGGCTGCGAAGCCGATTGTGTCCTTTTCTAAGGCGTAAAATAATAACTTTCTCTGGTCTGTCGATAATATGGTAAACGCCTTGTACGGGATTTGGTGGCTTTCTGATTGTCAATGCTTTCTTAGCAAGTTGCCAACATTCACTGACACTGGTTGACACAGCAGTCTGAAAGAGTATCTAAGATGAGAGCATTATAAGAAGGCAGAATTACATGAAAGTCATCATAGATATACACAGAACATCGACAACAACATTACGATTCTAGGCCTCTTTAGTATTCGCAACTGTCGTCGTATATATCATGTACGCACAGAAGGAAACCAGTCTATCGCAGGATAAAGACTAGAAGCTACCTGCCCACACGGAATCTTTTCTGGAAATAATGACAGCTTTAAGGAATACACAGCCACACAATACCCGTAAAAAAGATGATCTCCTGGGTATGATGACAGAAAGTAGACAGCGCCTGGTTGGAAGACAAGATATTATAGATATATTGGCAGCTAACTGAAAGCTCTAGGCTAGAAGAAAAGCTGTCGGGGTTATAATGAAAGCTAGCAGTGGGTATATAGCAGTAAAATATGTGGCTAGAAGCCAGTATGAGTAGGGGAAACAGTACATACTCACAAAATGTCCCAGTAGTCCGTCGGCGAGGAGATAGTACACACTTACAGAATGTCCCAGAAGTTAGTCGGCGAGGAGGTAGTACATACTTACAGAATGTCCCTGTAGTCCGTCGGCGAGGAGGTAGTACATACTTACAGAATGTCCCATTATTCCGTCAGTGAGGAGGTAGTACATACTTACAGAATGTCCCATTATTTCGTCAGTGAGGAGGTAGTACATACTTACAGAATGTCCCATTATTCCGTCAGTGAGGAGGTAGTACATACTTACAGAATGTCCCAGTAGTCCGTCGGCGAGGAGGTAGTACATACTTTCAGAATGTCCCATTATTCCGTCAGTGAGGAGGTAATAAATACTTACTTACTGTCCCAGTAGTCTGTCAGTGAGGAGGTAGTACATACTTACATAATGTCCCAGTAGTCTGTCAGTGAGGAGGTAGTACATACTTACAGAATGTCCCAGTAGTCTGTCAGTAAGGAGGTAGTACATACTTACAGAATGTCCCAGTAGTCTGTCAGTGAGGAGGTAGTACATACTTACAGAATGTCCCAGTAGTCTGTCAGTGAGGAGTTAGTATATACTTACAGAATGTCCCAGTAGTCTGACAGTGAGGAGGTAGTACATACTTACAGAATGTCCCAGTAGTCTGTCAGTGAGGAGGTAGTACACACTTACATAATGTCCCTGTAGTCTTTCAGTGAGGAGGTAGTACATACTTACAGAATGTCCCAGTAGTCTGACAGTGAGTAGGTAATAAATACTTACTTACTGTCCCAGTAGTCTGACAGTTAGGAGGTAGTACACACTTACATAATGTCCCTGTAGTCTGTCAGTGAGGAGGTAGTACATACTTACAGAATGTCTCGGTAGTCTGACAGTGAGGAGGTAGTACATACTTACAGAATGTCCCTGTAATCTGACAGTGAGGAGTTAGTATATACTTACATAATGTCCCAGTAGTCTGTCAGTGAGGAGGTAGTACATACTTACAGAATGTCTCTGTAGTCTGTCAGTGAGGAGGTAGTACATACTTACAGAATGTCCCTGTAGTCTGTCAGTGAGGAGGTAGTACATACTTACAGAATGTCTCGGTAGTCTGTCAGTGAGGAGGTAGTATATACTTACAGAATGTCCCTGTAATCTGACAGTGAGGAGGTAGTACATACTTACAGAATGTCCCATTATTCCGTCAGTGAGGAGGTAGTACATACTTACAGAATGTCCCAGTAGTCCGTCGGCGAGGAGGTAGTACATACTTTTAGAATGTCCCATTATTCCGTCAGTGAGGAGGTAATAAATACTTACTTACTGTCCCAGTAGTCTGTCAGTGAGGAGGTAGTACATACTTACATAATGTCCCAGTAGTCTGTCAGTGAGGAGGTAGTACATACTTACAGAATGTCCCAGTAGTCTGTCAGTAAGGAGGTAGTACATACTTACAGAATGTCCCAGTAGTCTGTCAGTGAGGAGGTAGTACATACTTACAGAATGTCCCAGTAGTCTGTCAGTGAGGAGTTAGTATATACTTACAGAATGTCCCAGTAGTCTGACAGTGAGGAGGTAGTACATACTTACAGAATGTCCCAGTAGTCTGTCAGTGAGGAGGTAGTACACACTTACATAATGTCCCTGTAGTCTTTCAGTGAGGAGGTAGTACATACTTACAGAATGTCCCAGTAGTCTGACAGTGAGTAGGTAATAAATACTTACTTACTGTCCCAGTAGTCTGACAGTTAGGAGGTAGTACACACTTACATAATGTCCCTGTAGTCTGTCAGTGAGGAGGTAGTACATACTTACAGAATGTCTCGGTAGTCTGACAGTGAGGAGGTAGTACATACTTACAGAATGTCCCTGTAATCTGACAGTGAGGAGTTAGTATATACTTACATAATGTCCCAGTAGTCTGTCAGTGAGGAGGTAGTACATACTTACAGAATGTCTCTGTAGTCTGTCAGTGAGGAGGTAGTACATACTTACAGAATGTCCCTGTAGTCTGTCAGTGAGGAGGTAGTACATACTTACAGAATGTCTCGGTAGTCTGTCAGTGAGGAGGTAGTATATACTTACAGAATGTCCCTGTAATCTGACAGTGAGTAGGTAGTACATACTTACAGAATGTCCCTGTAATCTGACAGTGAGGAGTTAGTATATACTTACATAATGTCCCAGTAGTCTGTCAGTGAGGAGGTGGTACATACTTACAGAATGTCCCTGTAGTCTGTCAGTGAGGAGGTAGTACATACTTACAGAATGTCCCTGTAGTCTGTCAGTGAGGAGGTAGTACATACTTACAGAATGTCTCGGTAGTCTGACAGTGAGGAGGTAGTACATACTTACATAATGTCCCTGTAGTCTGTCAGTGAGGAGGTAGTACATACTTACATAATGTCCCTGTTGTCTGACAGTGAGGAGGTAGTACATACTTACATAATGTCCCAGTAGTCTGTCAGTGAGGAGGTAGTACATACTTACAGAATGTCCCAGTAGTCTGTCAGTGAGGAGGTAGTACACACTTACAGAATGTCCCTGTAATCTGACAGTGAGGAGTTAGTATATACTTACATAATGTCCCCGTAATCTGACAGTGAGGAAGTAGTATATACTTAAGAATTTCCCTGTAGTCTGTCAGTGAGGAGGTAGTACATACTTACATAATGTCCCAGTAGTCTGTCAGTGAGGAGGTAGTACATACTTACAGAATGTCCCTGTAGTCTGTCAGTGAGGAGGTAGTACATACTTACAGAATGTCCCTGTAGTCTGACAGTGAGGAGGTAGTACATACGTACATAATGTCCCAGTAGTCTGTCAGTGAGGAGGTAGTACATACAGAATGTCCCTGTAATCTGACAGTGAGGAGTTAGTATATACTTACATAATGTCCCTGTAATCTGACAGTGAGGAAGTAGTATATACTTAAGAATGTCCCTGTAGTCTTTTAGTGAGGAGGTTGTATATACTTACAGAATGTCCCTGTAGTCTGTCAGTGATAATGTAGCTCGGTGAGCTGTAGTAGTTAGTAAACTTCTAAACCTCGGCAGGATGATATGCTTGATTGCGCACTGGCTTATATAGGATATTTTCTCTGACTACAGCTTTGTGATTGGTTAGATACGTTTTGATTGCAACAGTTTTTTTTTTCATTCATTATCTGAACAAAGGCTGACTCAAGCTACAAGTCAGTGTTAAAGAAAAGAAAAAAAAATTTCAGAGCAAACAGACATATTTGAGGCAATCTTTACTAACAACATCGTTTTTGTGAGCAGCCACCTTTAGATCATGGACTTGACAAAACCGAAAACCGGTTTGTTTGTCCCAATCATTTGTCTCATTTATTGCATGTGTCTATCTTTTTTTCTGTTAACCCTCGTATCGTTGGTGACAGTCTTGCCTCACGGTTGTGGCCCCTCCTTTAGATTGTGACTTTAAGCCCAACATGTCTCAGTTTCTTACTGCCTCTAAGCCTTGTGACTATCAAGCCTACCTGGCGAACCGATTGCCAAAGGTTCCAAT